GATGACAATGTTATACCTTTTACTTTCACTCTAACGTTGTATATCTATAGCGGCCAAAGTTTTATGCTGGTTGTAATTCCGGTCGTGGAAGTGGCGAAACACGTTTGCCTGTTCTCTGATGTACCGATATTAGTTTGGAGGAGGGGAACGGGCAGAAGTTTTTTTTTGCTGTCCTTTCCGCATTATATCAGAGATTTTTTGAAATTTATGCTCGTGTATTTTTTGAAATTTTTTTGATGATGATATCCTAATATCAAAGGTACTGAGCATTGGAGATTCCGATATGCGTCCCGGTGTCGGGATTTCGCGCTTGAGGAGTGGAAATTTTCAGATTATTTTTTATTTTGGTTGCTTTAGGTTTTTAGAGTTGTCTCTGGTGAATTAGATGATTGCGCTTGGTTCAGTACGAAAACCCGTGCTTTTTTTGTCTTTCGGAACAATATAATATAATTTGTAAATTGCTGCCGAGAAAGCGCTTGAATTTACGGAAATATAAAGGTTATAACTTAAACGCAAGAGGAGGAGAAAAGTGGAGACAGAACGGAAATAAGGGAGAAGATCAGTTGAATGAAACCTGACTGTAGAAAGAATGAAATGTTGCAGTTTGTAAAGTGATCGGAAATGTGCTCTATGAAATGATACTTAGCAGGGAAACCGTTCGTTTTGGTATCAATTCTGTGACCACGCCAATTTCAAGGCGGAGAGGTTAATGTTCTATAAGTATTTGTTGGTTCGGAAAGTTTACTCGAATAGAGAATGTCAAAATTACGGTCTTTAACATAAGCACTGTCCGTGGCAACGGACGTGGAACCGATAAATTTAGACGCCCAAACGAAGCGCTTGAGGCTTACTATAAGGAAGAAATTTTCTGGCATCACGCCAGAGGAGGAAAATCAGTGATACTCCGCTGATCAGGATTATATGTAATTCTTTAGAGGATGGATACAACAGTCACAACCGAAATAGCGATGTTACTCGCTATATGAGTCTTGTTTAAGCTTGTTGTTCGTGGTTTTCGTGATTCCTCGTTGTTGGAAGATGTTACTGTGATAGCATTGTTATTTCCGCATACTTTCATAGATTCTACAGAGTTGGCTTGAATCTTGAATATTTGGAAAGCTTAATTACGGAGCTGCTTATTGCCTATTTGCTTGTGAATAAAGTTGCGAAACGGTGATGAAAGGGTGTATATTACTTAAAAAAGCACCTGTTGTTCAACATACCATAACGCTTTCAAGAAAGATTTTGTGTAAATTTTATCTGCAAATCGTTTTCCTTCTCTTTTTTTCTGTTTATTTATTTGTTATATTTTTTTTTTCCTTAACTGTGCTGGACTTAACTATTTCATTGAGGTGGTCAAGTTTACAAACCGAAAATTTTTGACTAAGCTGCAATTTTCAAATTCAATGCACTTGTTGTGTTCCTTCCATTTCTGTCCAATATTGTTGCTTGTTTGCTTAAATTTATTTATTTATTTTTACGCTAAATAGCAGCAGTCGTATTGTTCACTTTTTGCGGTTATTGCCTTTTTCTTTCTATGGTAGTTTGGTTCCCATGAATTGTTTTTTTTTCCTTTTTAGTCTAATTCAAGTGGTGCAGGTGGCTATCACTTTTTGGTTTCTGAATGTATTACATTCGTCGTTCATTGCTTAAAGAGCAGCACTGTCTTTGGTCGGTTGTTAGCACTGCGAAGAAGAAGTTCTTCATTTCGAAGTTCGGGTTAGGAGTGTTTGTTTTCCTTCCACTAATTTAGCCCATCTTTTCTTTAATCCAAATTGGTAGAAAAACTGGTTATTCAATACGATGTTCAGTACGAAATAAGGGGTGGTATATTGAAAAATAATGGGTTTTTTTGCCTAGTGCTTTAGGGTTAAAGATTCGTATTGGAATTTCTGGCAAGCCAAATGTCTTTTAACTTGTCTGATCGTCTGCTTTAGATTCATTTTTCTTTTGGTCCACGGTTATTTTTTTTTACAGCAATAATTTCTTCTTTTCAATATATAGTTAACACCTTTATGCATATTTTCGCGCCAAAATATTGGATACATTCCCTCTACATTGTCCAGTTATCATAATGGAATCAGTCTTGTGTTACTTGGGAAGAACCGATCACATAATAAGAGGTTTTAATAAGACGTTTAAACTATTAAGGAAATGCTGGACAAGGGTCTAAAAGAAATATTGAGACGTTTTACTTATGTAAATACCTTCAGCACTTTAACTCGCATTTCTAAATTCGTACTTGTTTAACCCAATTTTTATGTTTTTATCAGTAGTTGTGAGAGGTTCCATTGAGATTTAGCGTTCAGAAATATTAAGGTGGATTTTGGTTGCTTATTGGATTTCCGCTGAAAATTTCTAAATTTATGGCAAATTAAAAACATTCATCTTTAGTTATTTCTAGTGTTACGAAAGCAAAGAACACGTCACGTAATATTTTAGTTTATCTCCCTACAGAGAGCAAAGGTATTCATCATCGTTGGCTTCATCAGTTACAGCAATGCAAGAAAAGAACGTGATAGCCGAAAGATGTAACGATATTATAAAGTCCCCAGAAGATAAACGATTGGTAAGTAAATTCTTTTAAACTTTATAGTTATAAGTAAATAACGCTTATTTACTGATGTTACAGATGACGCGGGTTTTAAGAACCTTTAGATGCTTCATATTTATCTTGAAGAAAAAATCTTAGGTGTGGTGTTTTGGCTTTGCGTGGGTATTTTATGAAATACGATTTTTTTCAGTACCGAGGTCTCGAACTTAGCAACGGATTAAGAATGCTCCTCATTTCCGATGAGAAGGCGGATAAAAGTGCTGCTTCTATGGATGTTTCTGTTGGTTCGTAGCTTCTATCTCATTTGACACTTTCGTTTGCATTAACCTAGGGTATTTTAAATAAACTTGTTTTAATATTTAACGTGTGGTAATTTTATTAAGTTTTTAGTTTTATTTAATAGTAACTTTCTGCTTTTTTTTTTTTTTTTCAGCGTGGTTTTGCCCTTTTTTTTTCACCTGTTGAACTCTGTAACTTAAAGGGAGTCAATGGTGAGAGAGAGTCGTTTTTATTCAGACTGCTTTACTACTACAGTGACTAAATTAATCAATAATAAATCACTTTCACCCTCAAGTGACCACTGATGTTGACTTACTGAACGCTGTAATTAGTAGTTGTGCTTAGAGGGCCTTGCTAAAGCATAGTTATATTCTGTGTCAAGTTACAGTGGTTTTAGTGACCAAAAGATTATTTTTACAACATTTAGGTCATCTAATGGACCCGTGGGAGTTACCCGGTTTAGCTCATTTTTGTGAACATATGTTATTTCTGGGTACTGATAAGTTTCCTTGTGAGAACGAGTATAACAAATATATAACTTCGCATGGTGGTGCTACCAATGCATTCACTGCTCCGGACCATACAAATTATCATTTTGATATCGCTCCTGAATTTTTGCGGGTAACGATAGGGATTTTATATTGGTATTAGGTTTTTAATGAGAAGTTAGATGCCCTATTTAATTTTTACTATAATTTTTTTTGAGCCTTTGTTGACGTTACTTTACTTCATTGCTTCAATTTTCAGGGAGCGCTTGATCGCTTTGTACAGTTTTTTTTGTGTCCGCAGTTTACAGAAAGCGCTACAGAAAGGGAGGTTTGTGCCGTGGATTCTGAAAATTCAAATAATCTACAAAACGACAGTTGGAGGATTATTCAGTTGGAAAGGCATTTTTTTTAAATGCATTTTTTGTGCTTATGGAGATGCATAAGTTTTTTCATATAAATTTTGCGGAGCTTGAGTTAACGTTTGCCTTTTGCTTATTTTACCTTCTGTATTGAGGCTTTACGTGCTCTTGAAATTTCTTCTGAAAACTTAAGGAGGTAGGGGAGTATATTAATGACTGCAGCGTAGATGCAGGTCGCTTTCAAAAGCTGGACACGATTATGGCAAGTTTGGTACCGGTAGTAAGAAGACTCTACTTGAAGACGCACGAGAAAAGAATATCGAGCCTCGTGAAGCTCTGCTGAAATTCCATACGGACCATTACTCATCTGATCTGTTAGTACCATTATTTATTATCTTCAAGCATGATATTTTTGGTGGAAGATTTGAGACTAACATTTAACTTACTGTTTTCTAGAGCAGCCACTTTTTTCAGTATGTCTTGCTGTATAATTGGCAGTGAAACACTTAACGAATTGGAGGACATGGTTGTATCTCTTGGTTTTGGTAAAATAACGAGAAAGAACCTGAAAAGAAAGACGTGGCTGGATAGTCCTTATGGGAAAGATCAGTTGGGGGTTAAAATAGAAGTAAAGTTTTGGCACTTTTGCTTACTGTAACTGATTTTGACAGTTATACTTGTTTTATTTTAAAACTAGCAGTCCGTGTTATGCTAGCATTTTTAACTTCCCGTCTGTTTTGGTAATCTTCTGTTGTTATCAATTGTTTATAAATTAGAAATTTTTAGCTTGTTCCTGTGAAGGATTTGAGGCATATGACTTTAGATTTCCCTATTCCGGATTATCGGGAACACTACAGGACGCGGCCGACTCATTACGTTGGTATGTATTGGCTCAAAAAAGTTATCCAAGTTTTGTTTTGTTTGATGATTCAGATGCTACCTTTTCTTTCTAATTTAATCTATATTTTACTTGATGCTTTTTCTGAGATCTGAAGCTGTTAAAAATACGAAGTTCAAAAATTTTTTTCTAGTTTTTAAAGTTTTTCTCATTAATTTCGCGTTGCCTCCGAGTACTAAGTTTCCAGCTCATTTAATCGGACATGAAGGTCCTGGGTCGTTGCTTTCGGAACTGAAGCGTCGAGGTTGGGTAAGCAATTTATCTGCTGGGGATCGGTGCTTGGCGAGGGGTTTCGGTAATTTCACCATCTCAGTCGATTTGAGTGAAGGTTAGATGAGTTCTGAATTTGTTTTTGAAATAACTACCAGTGGTTTTTGTCATGTCTTTTTATAAGTGGTATATTCGTTAGATTTCTTCTTTGTTTGTCTAAACAAATTAATTTTTGTAAAATTATAAAACATCTTAAATTACTTTTATGAGGAAAATGTTTATCTTTTGTGAAGCGGTTTGAGAGCAGGGGTTTGTAACATTTCCCTCATTTAAGGACAGATCTTTTGAAGGAAAATGTGCAGTATATTTTTACCTTTCTCAAGCTTTGCTGATAACTTTTTACGCTTTCTTTTCCTTCCTGCATATTGGTTTACTTTTAAAATTTTTTTTTCTTTAGTATCTTTTACTGTTTGCAAAATTATTGGGTTTGCGAGTTGTCAGTTACGGCGCTGGATACATTTAAACATATCAAAAATATTTAAAGTCTTTTCTTTATGCTGACTTACAGATACTCTTCTTGCCCATATTTAATGCTCAATCTGCTTATACTTAATGCCAGTTATAATAGTCTGTGTTCAGATACTTACAATCGGTTTAATTTTTGTGTTGAGAAAAAAAAAACAGATTTTTTTCTTTAGCAGTTTTTTCCCATTTCGCTTTGCTTTATAAACTTCTTTATTCAGAAGGGCTGAAACATACGGACGACATTATCACAGTCATCTTTCAAGAAATAGGTATGATCAAATCGGCAGGTCCTTTGAAGTGGATACAAGATGAATTGAAAAAACTTGGTGACATCAAATTCCGTTTTAAGGCAGGTTTAGTTATATCCTTAATTTTTTTTAAACACAGCTCGCCCGTTGGTATCGCCTTTGTGAATATTTCTTCCCAAATACATCTCCTAAAAACTATTTTCAGGACAAGGAAATGCCTATTTATTATGCTACAGGGTTGGCCTCTGACTTGCAGCTTTTTCCTATGAAAGATGTTATTTACTCCGATTATAGGTTGGATCAGTTTGATGAAGGTGCGTCCTTGAAGATTTTTTTTTTTTTTTTTTAAATTATTAACTTCAGTCTTCTTTTCAAGACTAAAATACACAATGTGAGTCGGTTGAGCCGTTATATAAGTCTAGGTCTTCAGAAATTTTGGTGATTAAACTTTTAGCTGAGAATTGTTTTCTAGCTATAATATTTTTCAGCTTTGATAGAAGATATTATTAATCGACTAAATCCCGACAACATGTGTTGTATGGTAGTTAGTCAGAAATTTGCTAACAGACCCGAAAATGTAAAAGAGAAATGGTATGGTACAGAATACCAGAGACTTCCCATTGATAAGGTTTTTTGCTTTTGGTTCATAATTGTTTCCTGGTCTGTGCACTCAGCAAGTTTACTGCAGTGAAGTGTATTTTAGTCACTAATGGATACTTGGCGACATGCGCTCACTACCAAATTAAATGCACTTCATCTGCCTTTGCCTAACGACTATATAGCGACTAAATTTGATCTAAAGGAGTTGGAGGATCCAGCTGTGTGCGTTTTTTGGATTTTGCGATAAGGCTTTTTTTGAAGAAGTTGGGTTATTAGAAACAAGCCGCTTTTGAACTTGATAGTTGACGTCTATTAGCATTAAAGATTAACGCTAAACGATTTTTAAAAGGGTGGTTCTACATTCTGAGTAAACTTTTAACTTTTTTAGTAATAGTATTTAACCAAACATCTGATCTTTGCCGTTATTACGTTTGAAAGTTTGCAGGCAGGAAATAAATTTACAATGAAAATACAACTTGTTTGAAAATTAAGCTTTTATGGGCTTTGTCGTTGTTAAGTAGTAAGGAAATTTTTGCAGTCTTTTTTTTTTTTGTTGCCTTGAAAAGCCACTATTTATTTTAAAAACGTTTTTCTCATTTAGTAAAGTTCCTCGTATTATTTTGGAAGACTCATGGGCCCGTGTCTGGTTTATGCAGGACAATGAGTACAAATTACCAAAATGTTTCACCCAATTAATTATACATTCTCCTATTATGTCTGCGACTCCAATGAATAGTTTCTTGAGTGCCATGTTTATCATGACTTTGCAGGTGCATTTATATTACAGAATATCAGTGTAATTTAATTTAGAAGTTTGGTCGTATTCTTTTAATTACATAGCAGATAATAGGATTGTTTCTGAATAGTGTTTTGAAAATTATTTTTTGCATAACTGTGGTCTCTTTACGCCGCTTGTATATACAAATTTTTGTGGACCAATTGTATGAAGTAATTTTATAATCTCCAGGATGCCTTGGCTGAAGATACTTATAATCCATACTTAGCCGGGCTGTGTAGTGCATTCCATGATAAATATACTGGTATAAGCTTGAGAGTAACTGGATATGATGAGAAGCAACGGTTGCTCGTTAAAGATCTTATTAATAAACTTATCAAATTTGAACCTGGTAAGCAGCAAGGTTTTTATTTTAATCTTTTGCTCCGAAAGTAACTTTAGCTTTTATTGTATATGATGTGGAATAAAGAGACAAGGTTTTCTTACGTATTGGCAGTAAAAATTTTTGCTGGAGTGTTCTCCTTGCATACAGTTCTCGTTTTTTAGACCAACAAAGGTACGATATTCTAAAGGAAAATTTGTGTAGAGCGTTAAGATGTTTTCGGCAGGTACAACCTTACACACAGGCTAAATATTACAGCTGCCTTCTCTTAAGTAGCCTCGAGTGGACCAAAGAACAGTTGCTTGCTTGTGCGGAAGGTATTTTCAGTTCTGCGGTATTTTTTCTTTTTTATTTGGTCGTTTGTTGCTCGGAAAAAAAAACGTTGGGCCAATATTCTTAGCTTTCTTTTAAAAAGATAGGAAAAAGTGTTCAAATATCCTAGTTTAAATTTCAAATATTGGTTTTTAGTGTGAAGTGATGGAGTTTAAGAGATTTTTAAAGTGATTTTTAAGTTTTGAGGGTTTTACATTATTTTAATTTCTTATCTTCTCTACCTGTTTTTGGGTCTTATTTTAAAGATTATTTTGGTTTTTATTTTTTGAAAAAATAAACTATGTGAATTGCAGTATGTGAAGTGGATAGGCTAAGAAATTACATTGCGAGTGCTCTTCAGGCTGTTTATCTGGAAATGTTTGTCTACGGTAACATGGTTGTAAAGGTAATTTAACTTTGTTAATTATTTCTTGAACTGGCGCTGTGTTTTTGTTTTTTTCCGCTGTTCAACCGATTAATTTGAAATCAGGAGGTTTTGGAAATGAAGGATGATGTTGTGCAAATCCTGAAATCTGTTCCTGGTGTTCGTCCGCTGTTCGCTTCCGAGATTGTAAAATGTAGAACGCATGTCATTCCATCTGGTGACTTTTTAAGCTTTAGCGGAAAGAGCACTGTGTAAAGGTTATCTGTGAACATTCTGCATTTTAGGACCTGGCTTCTACCTGAAGGAGTCGCAGACTACTCATGAAAACTCTGCAGTTGAATTCATTATGCAAACTGGAGTACAGAACCCAAAAGAGAATGTGTTACTACAATTGATCGTTCAGTTAATCAGTGAACCTGCTTTTAACCAATTACGTACAAATGAACAATTAGGTTTCATCTTTTTAAATTCATTTTTTTTGGTTGTAATCGAATTGCTTTAAGTTACGCTGGTAGTTTGAGACTATTCAAAAAGAGGTCTAATTTTTTTCTAAAAAAATTTTTTCAGCTGAAATCTGTTGTTTTAGGATATATCGTTCATACGAATGTTTTTTGTAATTTTGGTGTGCAAGCTTTGCGAATGATTGTTCAAGGTGGCCATGATCCAGAATTTGTGAATGAACGAATAGAGTGTTTTCTTTCAACGTTTAGGGTATGTTTCTTCATAATATAAGTGCTCTTATTTTTTACTTTTTAGTCTTTATTCATCGGTCGCGAAAATTTAACTTATCATAAGGTGCTTTAAGCAAAAGTTGGAGGAAATGCCTGAGGAGCAGTTCAGAGAAAATATTGAATCGCTCGCTGCAAAAAGGTTAGAAAAGCCAAAAACTTTGAAAGCAAAAGCAGGGAGATATTGGGAGGAGATTGCGAGCGGGTTTTACCATTTTGATAGAGGTAAAATATTGTTATTAAGAGGTTAAAACTCTACTTTTGAGATATGTTGTTAGATTCTTGGTTCAGCAAAACTGTGGAACAGTGAGTAGAAGAAAACGGTTAAAATTTTATTATTTCAAGATGTTGACAAGTTTCCTTCTCTCAGTTTTGAAAAGCTTATGAAATTTCTTTTTCTGTTAGGATTTTAACGACTTTATGGAGGTTTATTGTTTTGCTAATTGTGTACTAACTCATTTTTCCTATTTTATCGGAAGTTTTAGTTGAGATGGAGGTTCCACTTTTACGAGCCCTCACAAAGGAAGATGTTATCGTTTACTTTGACAAACATTTTGCCGCTAAATCGCCACATAGACGGAAATTATGCACTATGGTTTATGCTGACAAGGCCAGTGACGTAGAGAAAGGCATTAAAAGAAGAAGTAAAAGAGCTGTGGAAGGACAGGTATTTGAAGCTACTGTTGATTTTTTGTTGCAGATTTTGGCGGGCGGCTAGTGGTGCCGTTACTGATATTTATTTGGAAACTTTAGTATTTTTCATAGATGATGGCGGGATTGAGCTTTTTTAGCAAGAGGAGTTCTGGTTTTGACTAGTTCTAGTCGGTTTGATTGTGCTTTTCTAACGTCATTTTAGATCGCGATTGGTTTGACTTTAAGATTTTTCAAACATTCTTTTCTTTTTAAAACTGTACAGCTAATTTAATATTATTTTGTTTGCTAAGTGTCTCTTATTAT